TGAAAAGAAAAGTAGGGAGACTGCATTTCTCTCAGCACAAAGGATTTAAGAACAGGTGGGTCCTGAAGGAGTTTTATAAAAACATGGCACCTTCCCAGGTGAACGAGCCACATTTGAGGAGGATCTAATACACATACGTATTGGGGGTTTAAATATGAGTTTGCGTATTATTAACTTTTAAAGACCTAAATAAGAAACAAACATACTAAAATATAATTTCAGGATGAGGGACCCATTCCTGTTTCTTTCTTTTAGTTGAGTATAGGTCATGTCATGACTTTGGTTTTAACTTTAAATCTTTAAAACTTTAATTGCTTTCTTATATTTATATATAAATAGAAAAATACGGGCAGTGTTAAAGGGGAACACACTAGGGTAAATATATATGAATGCAAATTTTTGCCAGAAAGTTTTACCAACTTAAGCAATTCTTCCTATCAGAAATAGTTTCTTCACAAAGACCTTTTTTTCCCATTTATGCCTAAAACTGCAACTTGATAATATGCTTGTTTAAATATCAGGTCCTAGTGCAACAAATTCAGAAGTCAGAAAAAAATCTAAGCTAAAAATGCTAGAATATCTTTCAGTCATTCTATTTTACTGTTACAACTTAAACATTCAGAAATCCGGGGTGTTTCTCGCAACTTGAGTAAAACACACTGCAAATCCAAAGGGAGAAAATGTAAATGGAAGAAATGTCTGATTTCTGAACTGTTTTGCCCGTATGAACAGTATCCTGTTCATTTCACATATTGATTCTGAATACCTTGTCAGCCCCTGCTCCAAGACGGTCCCTTGACACGGGAGCAAGTCAGAATAACTTACTTTCATAGCTTATTTAACAGCAGGCAAACAATTTTTACATTGGCTTGAAATCTTAAGTCGATCTGATATTAGAATCCAGGCTTAAATTTTGTAAGAAGTTTCCAAATAGCAGAAGAAATTAAAACAGAGATACCAAAACTAAAAACACCAATGTGAGACAACAAATAATATTTCCAGTCCTAATCAAACCACAACCCTTTCAGTATAGCTTGAGGTATTTTTAAGTATTTGTACAAGCTAAATAGCATTCACAGTTTCCGAAGCTGCTTTTTTACTGAGATAGCCTCACATTCTCATGATAGTTGACTTTCAGACAGGTTTTCTCGTACATGAAAACTGAGTCTGAGTCTCCGCCCTCAGACTCACGGAAATATCAGACAGCTAGCTGTTCAGTGGCAGCGAATGGTTCTCGTAGTAATGAGGGTTCTACTTCCCAATTATTGTGCTACTCCTAGGATGTGATTAAAAAAATAAGAAATTTGCAATTCATATATAAAAGGAAAACTTGCTTCAGTTTCTGAAAGCAAGTCCAGTCTGGTGGAGGTATATAAGACATTAAATAACAGAGTCAGATTCCTTCTTAAAGATTGCAGCCGAGCTTGACACCGAGTTCTGGTTCTCCAGCATTTTCTCCATCTTTTCTCCTCCAGTGGCTTGAGTGACCTCCTTTTGCTTCTTACTGTGGACCCATGGGATAAAACAAAGGACAGCACCTCCAATAAGGGGCGGGATTCCAGCGAGGTAGAATGCCACGTCATAGGAGCCCAGCTTGTCATGGAGTAACCCTGGGAAGGGAAGAAACTGTCATCAAGAGAGAACAAGTATGACTGGAGGGCTCAGATTAGTCCCCCTAGTGGCCTACTGCCAACCTAGGATCTTCATCCCGCAGGCTAGTGCAGACACCTCAGATGCAGACACTTCTAAGGAAATGGGTTTGAAAGATAAACCTTTTCTGATAGGAGGAAAGAAAAGATGTCATTTCTTTAATCTTGTTGCAAATCTGTGACAGGCTTCTGAGTTTTCCTACCAAGACATTGCATGGACAGAACACTTGCAGTCGAGCTTTGGCTTTCTCAAAACCCTTCAGAGGCCATTCGGGTATTCTGACACATGGTGTTAAGGTCCTGTTTCGGCTCAAAGTGGACGGTCCACCAAGCTGAAACCTCTGTCATACACACAGGCTTCAAAATGTTTACATTTTCAGACCTTTCTTGGGCCTGTTTATGAAATAACATGAAACTACTTAAAATGATAATCCAATATCATGAAAACTTATAAATATAAGGGGATGAAAAATTTACATTGTTAAATACATTTTGGAAAGATACTAAGGTTTCTCAGCACCTGAGGGGAAAATGTAATAATATAGGTGTGGTATTCTAATTAGATCCTAGGGCTGTGCTTCTGAAAACTGTCAGAGTTCTCTTTATTTCTATTTCTCTAACAAAATCCAGATTTTAAAAGTTATCTTAGTGTTTCAGACTTTTACTGTACAACCTATTACCAGAAATGTTCCAGGAACACATCACACTGAGTATCTGACTCTGCTAAATAAACAGCTGAGGATTTGTTCAGCTGTTAAATACCAACACATTGAAAAAAAAAAAAAGTGTACAGTCATTCCAAATAGAAACCTAAAACATACAGTATATCTAAATATATGTTTTTCCTATCTGAATCAGAATATTCCACATATAACTGAACCTTGCATCTTTATGAACACAGATTATGTTTGGCTGTAATACTGTAATCCCTAGAACCTCCTGGTGTTTTTCTGCCCACTTTGGGAATTTCCTGTTTCCCCCTTCATTCTTGACCTGTTATAGTCACTTCCAGTGGCAAATAGAAACACCACTTCTACTAAAGTGCTTCCTATAACTTGCTGTGGACTTGGAACCATAACAAAGCATGTAAGATGTAAAAACAGGTTGTTACCTGGGGGAGAGGGGAAGGACTGGAGGATTCTCCCACAAGGATACTGTGATTTTTAGAATTTATATTTTACTTGGTCTGCTCAGTAGTGGTTCTGCTTGCTTGATTCATGACTAGGTTCCCAAGTGGCAAATTTGCTGATATGTGTGGTTCTGAATATGAGAATGAATTGAACTGAACTTTCACTGAGCCACTCACATACAAGACAGATGCCAGTACCTACATTTAAATTTCATAATATTTATATCAAATCTTATAATTTACAGTAGTACCCAGTTTATACTGAACATGAGACAACTTTATACTATTCATTCAGAAGATTTCTAAAGGTAAAATTCACATAACATAAAATTAACCATTTTAGTGGCATCTGGTATGTCTACAATGTTGTACAACCACCACTGTCTCTCTAGTTCCAAAATATTTTCATCACACCAAAAGAAAAGTCTGCACCCAATATGCAGTTACTCCCTAATCCCCCTTCCCTCCATCCCCTCACATCTGTTCTGTCTCTGAATTTATTATGGCTATTTCACATAAATGGAATAATATGTGACCTTTTGTATTTGGCTTCTTTCACACTTAGCATAATGTTTGAGGTTCATCTACCTGGTAGTGTGTACCAGTATGATACTTCATTCCTTTCTATGGCCAAAGAACTCCATTGTATGGATATAGCACATTTTGTTTACCGGTTCATCTACTGACGGACATTTGGGTTTTCCTGTTAAGTGTTACTTTTCATTTAACTATTTCTCAGGGAGGACTGTGATCTCTTACACAGTTCATACATATTTAGAAATCTTTCAGAATCTTCACCTCTTGATAGAAAGAAATCACATTTCCTATTCCTCCAAAACACTTACTAACATAGGAACTCTGAAGTCCTCAAGTCCAGAAGCTAACTGCTATACATTCAGTGGGTGTTTAAGATATCAATGAGAGTAAGAGGACTCATCGGCAAATTTTTCCAGCATGCCATCTGCTGGTCCTGGTAAAAACGTATAGATAAGACAACAGCAAGACACCAGAAACCAATAAATCATAATATATTTAACATGTGAGACTCAGGACCTACAGTAGACAATGCTAGGACAATATTATTTACCTGCGATGGGTGGGCCCACAGTCATGGGTATAGACATGAATCCAAGCAGAAATCCAATTGCTTGGGAGACATCCTGGGCACCAACCAACTCAAAGGCAATGGGGGCCATAATGGAAATGAAGCATCCATCGAAGAGACCCATGATGAGGCAGACAGCAATGAGGGCCGCAAAGACGCTGCACAGGGGAATCATCATGGACATCAGACCAATGAAGAGAAAGGACAGGACCTAGGACAGACACCACAGTGTCAGCTCCGCTCTCGGAACAAGGGAACATCACAATTACCAAGCAGCATGCTTAGGACTTTTAAGTGGTTACTGGTTAGTCACCTCCCCAGCCCACTTGGCCTTGATTTTATATACATAATCAACTCCCACAATCATATTCCCTGAATTCCCCTCCCACTTTCTCAGTATTTCCATTAAGGGACAAGAAAAAAGTAAGGGTTTTCATATACTTACTTTCCTTTCCCAGCTGTAAGCTCTTTGAGATCAGAATCTGTACAAAAGTCATCTTTGGCCCTACATATAATAAGGTTTAAGGATCTTGTACCTGGTCAGTGCTCATTACATATTTGTCCTTTGAATATCAGCCCAAATTCACTCATCCAACGTATGATTTAAAAATTTTACCTTTGAAATTATATGCACTTGACTGGTGTCAGTCCTGTGCATAATGAAGATACGCCAGCCAGATCCATCCTTCACCTCACAGAGCTTCCAGTTTGTTAGAATAACTAGTAAAATCAAACACTGGACTCTCCCTGTCGTTGGGCAGCTACTGTGCTCTATTCTATGTGAATAAAACCTGGTTCGTACCCTTGGGTTATGAAGAGTTGACTATGTAAATAAGTACACGTGAAATATCCTAGATGTTCTAGTTGTATATTCAAAGTACAGTGGGTACAAAAAAGGAAGGAGCGGATAATTCAATTTTTTAGGCAAATAACTAATTAAAATTGTGTCATTCACTCACTAGGTGGAATAGATGTTTTAAAAAGAATCAGCTTTTTTAAAAGTATGCATATAACAGAAACTATCATTTATTTAATGCTTATGAAATGCAGTCAATGTTCTAAGGACTTTAGATGGTGATTTTATGAGGTGAGCCCTAATATTTTCCCCATTTTACAGATGAAGTGAATGATGCTGGGAGGTTTAGTAAGCCCAGATGGAGCCAGCCTGGAACCCATGGTCTGCGGGGGCAGTAAGTAGCAGGGGGCAATGGAACAGCTCCTAGAGGGTTCCCTCTGATGACAGTGGGGCAGGGACGGAAGGGAGCGGCCACAGACTGCAGTGCTGTGGATCACCACCTTCACCCGCTCTCTTTTCCCAGGGCTCACTGGCGGACACCAGGCTTGGCAGGGCCTCGGGGCAGCCCCACCACCTCAGTGCAGAGCAGGATCGCCTGAGGACAGGGACCGGCTCCCCAGGTGACTCTGACCCCACAATCAGAAACATTCTTTTAAACTCCAAGTTGGGGACTTCCCTGGTGGTCTAGTGGTTAAGGCTCTGCACTCCCAATGCAGGAGGCACAGGTTTGATTCCTGATCAGAGGATTAAGATCCTACATGTCACTCAGGCCAGAAAAAAAAAATCCAGGTTGGTCTCTTTTCTGACACCATTGTATTATATAGCTGAGTAAATATGGCTTTACGGTAGAATTAGTTTAAGACTCAGAGTTGGTTATTTGAAAAAGAAGTCTGGCGCGTCACATTTTTTCCTAAAGAACATGATCTCCACATTCTGATCGTTTATGCTCTATTTAAACACCTTTTCCTCCAGCCCAATTTCCATTAAAATGGAAGCGGAATTCCTCAGTGCTCCTTAGTGCTTTGGGCTTCCTGGTGGCCCAGGTGATGAAGAATCCGCCTGCAATTCAGGAGACCTGGGTTCGATCCCTGGCTTGGAAAGACCCCCTGGAGGAGGAAATGGCAACTCACTCTAGTATTCTTGCCTGGAGAATCCCATGGATAGAGGAGCCTGGCAGGCTACATTCCATGGGCTTGCAAAGAGTCGGACACGACTGGGTGACTGACAGACAGACTGGCTAACTACTGGGTTTACAGCCTTAAGGCTGGAAAGAACTAAGGCCCAGAAGGACAGGCCAGGTTCCAGATCTCTGTGACCCTGATAGAAAGACTTCCTGATGCTTCCCATCTACCATCTGTATTTAAGGAGACCAATCCTAGCATTATTTACTAGATACCTTTTTACTCTATCTATAAACACAAAAGAGAGAAAACTCCAGCAAACCTGGAATAAAACGTTAGGCCATCACGGGGCCAGATTCAATGGGTTTAACGCCCGACCACACCACTGTACTACTACTAGGCCCGCTTAGAATGCGCCTCCTGTTCTTTTCATATTTTGTTCAGTACAAATCTCCTGCAAGATAAGACAACCAGAGTGAATGTTGACAGCTTATAGCACAAAGTCAGTTTTGCTGAATAAACAAATGTTTTCTTGGACCCAATTCATTTAACATGAGACCCAGACACATATAGTGCTCATCTTGACTTTTCTATTCATTTTGGTCCCTTCAAGTTTTTATTCTTTGTTCAGTTTTCTAAGAAATCATTCATATAAGAGTTTCAGGTTTATTAATATATATATTTTGAGCACATTATTACTTCTTAATACTTTACCTGACTGCAAGCTCTCCTTTAATTTATATTCTCTTTTTCAACTATTTGACAATTAGTATTTAAAACTGTTAAATTTTAACAATAATTGTTAAATAAAAATTATGAGTTGTTATTTAAAGTAAAATTTCTTGGTTTTTCTTTAAGAATTGAATTGATAGAAATTTACACACTTATTCTTCAGTATCTCTCAGAAAATACCTGGCTACTTCTGCCTCATTTGCAGCTAAATAGTAGTGAGAAATGCTGCTGTTTCTCAGCAGGTTTAACTACCCTAAATGTAGCTTAAGTTCAGAGGTAGCAGGCCAAGCTGACAAGGACATACTTGTTCCCCACACTCAGGAACACTCCACCCACAAGTAGCACAGACCAAGGTTTAGCACACTGTGCGTGTAGGAAGTTCATCACTTCCCCAAATATCTACTGATCTGTAAATACAAGCCCCCAGGGTGAAAGGTGAGTAATTTAGTATTACAATCTTTCTTTCCACCCCAAACACAGTAGCTCTGGTTAGATTTAAGAAAGAGATTTAAAGGTTCCTAACCCTTTTCTAGGCTCTGGCACTGCCATTTAATGAGACATTGACTGTTGAGATGTCTTTCTTGCTTCTGCTTCTTAAAACTATACAGGAAATATTTTCTGTCATAATATTACAGTCTCTAGAAGAATAACCCCTGCTTCAGTTAGTTTATGTACCTAAGAACAACAGCAAAAAAATTCCTTGCTATTACAGTCCCCATTTCTGTCACCAAGAACATTTTTGGAGGAAATGTCAGTGGAAGTTTTCTTCAGAAATTAAGCATAATGACGGAAGAGGAAAAAATGACGTGCACCTGAATAAAAGCAGAAGACACTTTCGAGGCAGATGCAAATTATATTAGTTTATATTCTCTTGGCCACAGTTAGAAACAAGGGTTGCTCCTATGAATTTGGCAGATGCAAATTATATTAGTTTATATTCTCTTGGCCACAGTTAGAAGTGTTGCTCCTATGAATTTATCCAGTATAAAGTTTGCAGACTTTCAGAGCCTCTGGCTAGGAACCCTCTACTTGGCAGCAGGGGTCTGGGGTCCATCACACCAAAGGGAAGTGTTCAGGGCACAGCTGAGCATCCGGCTTCTTCTAAAGCACGCAGTCCTGTGGAAGTGCTTCACCCGGAAAGTCTGTTCAGCTTTCCTGCTGCACATAAATACCACCATTTCTGCCTGGAGGAGCAACCAGCCCCAATGCCGCGTCCCAGGTGAGAAGAGGGAATCGTAGTCTGATTCCTCGTTCAGGCAGGGGAGCTGCTAAATACCTGGATACCATTGTAGAAGCAGCTCATGTTTGGTAAAGCATATACCTTTTATCCCAAGGTATCTTTCAGAAAACATAAAACACCAAAAGGGAACAAAAAACAGCAGCAGCAACAACAAACTGGGCAACGCAGCTCAGTTCGTTCTACTGCAAGCAGAAGTGACTTCCAGAGGAAGATGGATCTAAAAGTGATTCGTTTTCCTAAGTTACAAAAAACAATTCTGCATTTCAAAAGTAACTCATGCATTCCTGACAAAATTCAAACTGTAGAAAAATGTATTCAGTAATAAATGAAAGTCTTCCTTCAACCCCCTCCCACCCTCAACCCACACTCTCCTGGTCAGGAATAACCGCTCAATAATTTGATGGTCCTCCCAGACCTTTCCTGTGTGCACTCATCGGGTTTGTCTGCTTACATACATGGATATGATGTCCACACTTTGGTATGTCCATGGGCACAGAGCAATCTGACACAGTGGGAAAGTGATCTTATCCAAAGCTTTCGATTCTTTCCTTAGAGTTACAACTTCCAAACTTTTGAAACACCCTCACACTGTTGAAAGAGGCACACAGTAAAGAGAAATCTGCAATAATGTACTGGTGACTAGAAACACAGGCCTGTGAAGTTAAGAAAGATGGCTGGGAATGTGCCAGGATATAGTCTTCCCTCTCCTAATGAAGTACTCCCGGAACTTCTGCAGAGATTCTCTTTACCCATCATCATTCTATATAATACATTTCAATCACCTCTTCGGTCAGTATTCAGAATTGTTAGGCTGAAAATACTCGGTTACCCAAAACCTTGCTGGAAGTTTAAATTCAGAACTCTTTAGTAAAAGTGTAAGATATATTCCTAAACTCTGTTACCTATAAGCAAAGATCCCCACATCAGAAAAACCAAGGTCTCCTTTTTCTTGAGACCTGTTCCAAATCAGGATCTGCCTCAGTATTTCACAGAATATTAAAATCTCACAAAAGCAAGGACTCATTAATGATCCCCTGGGCCAGCAGTTTACATAAGCTGTCACCATGAGTGCTCACACGGCCCTGGGCAGCCTCCCCAAACCTGAGAGGACTGTGCCCCCAAAGCAGACAACATGGAATGCTGCGAACTGTGTTCCGGGCCTGGAAGCTACTCAGAGCTGGTGTCACGGGCAGGGAGGGAGGAGAGCGGCGGTGCCCCCACAAGGCTGAGCTGTGACAGAAGCAAGGAGCAGATGTGCCTGAGAAAACCCAGCACCCACGAAAGGAAGGAGAGAAAGGTAAGCTGCGGCAACATCGCAGCACCTAACGGCTGGGCCAGAGGGCAAACAGCCAGGCGGGGAGACAGGGAGAGGAGGAGGACTAAGCCGACAGACAGAGCTGGGCTTGATCACAGCAGAGAAGAGCCAAGGATCAAAAACCACAGGAGATTCGGGAGTTGGGGCAGGGGAGAGACGGAGCGGGGAGGGGTGTCGGGGGCTCCCAGCCGCCGGGACACTGAAGGCCAGCCTTCTGCTGCACGGGCCCCCCTGGACTGCAGTCACCTCGCCTGTGACTCAGCACGTACAGGCGTGATACACACTGTACCACGTTTGGATGAGAGAAAAAACGATGCGACTTAAAAGAAGCCAGGCTGCGGCTAACCTTTCATCCAAAACGAAATTACTCATTCTTCACTCACTTCCGTGTGACTGTAGGCCACACGTGGGCCAAGTCAGAAAAGGCTGTTTTCTTTCCTCAGTTACATGAACTACTAACGCATCTGCCCCCTGTTACGTTGTAAAGGACCCGACTGCCCCACTGGTGGGGGGATCCTTTCTAAAGTCAAAGTTGTTTTGGGGTAAAGCGTTGATGTATAAAACACGCCATGCCTTCATCCATCGCGTCACTGCAGTCTGGCCTCCATCCTCTCTAACCTGGACGCTGTGTTATCTCCTCCCTGGTCTCCCTCTTGCGCTCCCGCCTCCCTCGCAGTCTTCAATCCTGCACACACCACAGCAGCCACGCAGACTTCAAAATGCAAGATCACGTCATTCTCCAACAAGGACCTACTAAGCTTAAAGTAAAATGTCTCCACGGTGTATGCCAAGGCCCTGGTTAGTCGGGCCCCTCCTGTCCCCATGTCCTGCTCTTTCCAGCCTCTTCCCAGGCCACTCTCCCTGTCTTCTCGACTTCCCAATCATGCCCAGCTTTTCCCTGCCTCAGGTCTCACTCAAGAAACTCAGGGACCATGTCTGTATCATGTTTTTATCACCCACCAGGGTCGGGGCTGGTGCTTGGGGCATAGTAGACACTCAATCTTCTTTTAATAAATGAAAGGAAGTCGAAAGTCTGTAAGGCAACAAATGTCCACTAGAGGGCTCCCTTGACGCTTGAGAACAAGGCTGTTCTGTTAAACGTTGGACAAGGATACCCGCAGTGAAGGTGTTAATAAAAGGGGAAATGATCGTAACACAGGAATACTTCTAAAGGTAGTACTCTCCCAGCCTTCCAGCTAGGTGACCAGACTCCTTACTGCGCTGACTGCCTAGATCTATAGAGACCCACAGTGAGGCAGCCCCTCTGCCCCTCCGTGTTCGCATCTGTAAGCGCAGCAGCACACACCTGGAAGGAAAGGCGCACTCGGTTCACTGACCATCACTGCTGTGTAGTTTTAGAATATTTACATCACCCAAAGGAAGCCCCACAGCCAGTAGCAGTCACTCCCCAGACCCTCCTTCGCTCAGCCACCAGCAACCACTGATCTACACTTCTGTCCCTGGACCCGCCACAATTCTGGACACTGCGTATAAAGGGAACCACACAACATGTAGCCTTTTGTGACTGTATGAACCCTGGCCCCTCCTCCTCTGTATTCACCCTTCACAGCTGTTAGGTTAAGCTTTATAAAATACGACTCTTGTCACTCCCTTGTATAAAAAAAAACCTTAATGTCTCCTGGTAGATTTCAGGATCGAGCTCAGCCTCTTCTGTGCTCACAAAGGTCCTTCCCAACCTGACTCCTGCCTATTCCCCAGCCAAACAACCTACTATTCTCTCTTAAAGTTCAGTTGCTCAGTCGTGTCCGACTCCCTGCGACCCCATGAACCGCAGCACACCAGGCCTCCCTGTCCATCACCAGCTCCCAGAGTCCATCCAAACACTGCTTCCCAGACACAGCACACAATGTCACGTCTCCGTCTCTTTGCCCACGCGGCTTCCTCTGCTTGTAACACTCTTCTCCATTTTCCTTATCTATCTAACTGTTACCTCTCAGCAGTCCGCCAGCCAAGGGAGCCTGCTCAGACCTCCTCTAGTGATTGAGCTCCTTCATGCCTGTGTTTCTGTGGCTCCACCTGGCCCGTTAGTCCACTGGTCAGTGCTGCAGCATGGCTTTATCTGTCTCGCCCAGAGACCATTCGTCCCAGAGCACACGGTGGTGTTTCATCTGTAGCATTTAGCACGGTAGCCAGCATGGAGGAGTCACTTCAATACTTGTGAAGTGAACATCAGTATGGTCTCGGGACAGCACAGCCCACAACACCCAGAAGGCAATCTGCAGCAAAGAAACTCAAAAGACACGCACATCCCTGAATTTCACAGGGTACTGCAAAAGGCACATGACCATGAGAACTACGTCAAAAATAAAGCATTCTTAGAAAAAAGCAAAAGACAGAAAACCATTCTGGTTTGGTGCAGTTCCATGACAGAATAAAGAATACTCTTTGTTCACCAATTTTTCATGTTGAAAACCCCAAACTCTGGACTACCCTGGCAGTCCAATGGTCAAGACTCTGAGCTCCCTCTGCAAACCAGAGCACCGGTTCAATCCCTGGTCAGGGAACTAAGATCCCACATGCCATGCAGCACAGCCAAAGAGAAAACCCAGACCTCATAACGGATTTTGCCCTTTAAAAGCTGTGTGTAAAAGGGTCTAGAAAATAGTTCTCATGTTTATGGAAGAATTTAAGTAAATAAGTACATATATGAGCCATTAGGTGACAAGGATAAATTTGCTGGAGGAATAAAGGCTTATTAAGGAATGAAGGCTTATTAAGGGCTTTCCTGGTGGCTCAGTGGTAGAGAATTCACTTGCCAACGCAGAGGGGACAGGAAGACCCCACATGCCGCAGAGCGACTTCTACTGAGCCCGCGCCTGGGAGCCTGGAAGCTCCACTGAGCCCACATTCTTCAACCACTGAGGCCCCACAGCCTAGAGCCTGTGCTCCGCGACGAGACATCGCCGCAAAGAGAAGCCTGCACACCTCAACAAAGAGCGGATCCCACACAACCAAGAAGACCCAGCACAGCAAAAATAGAAAAAAAAAAAAGAATCAAAGCACCACCACAAGCCCATCTCCACTCACAGAGGCTGACCTGAAAGCATCTCCCTATACTTCTGAGTTCCCGTGGAAATACATGCCATAATGGTTGACACTCTGGGATGGGTACATGGGAGGTTCATCAATGAGGTTTAAAACTTTACATAGTAAAAGACATTTAAAAAAAAAAAAAAAAGAAAGTACCTGGAGATAAATTTTCTTCACACCAGGCACGTAATCCACGATCCGGCCGAAGAGCAGCCGTCCGACTCCTGAAGTGATGCCGATGCACATGAGAACCACCTCTTTATTTTTCTCATCTTTAAACCTTTCATTCACATGTTTCATCTGTAGACCAAAGAGAAAGAAGCCACACTAAATGTGGTAGGAAAACTTGACAAGTTTTGAGGCTTTGTACAAATGCCTTTTTTTGTATATGTAACAGATTCTCCTTCCATAGTCAAATTTTTATAAAAATGTATTCTATGATAATTTTTCATGAGAACACATGAAGAAAAGCCAACATGGTTTAGCTTGTATAAATAACAATTTTTATAAGAGGGTTTTAAAAATATTTTTAATAAAAGGTAACCAGCACACCCTTTATCAGTTATCATTGGGCCACAAGCTAAAGCGAGAGAAGAGACCTTTGAACACACCATGCCACAAGGTCACCCAAGGACCCAGCCCATCATCTGCTCCCCTGAAAGGCAGTCTGAAGGCTCAATTCTGGAGTCTCATCTCTTCTAGGAGGACCTAAACCAAACTGAAATAAGTTACACTGGAGCTTCCGGGATAAAAGCATAAGGCTCTCTACCTGAGGATCTGCCTATTTGTGTGGCATTAGAACAGATAAAAATACAGAAGCTGTTTAACACAGTGGTTAAAGGAAAGGTAGTGGTTAAAGGAAAGGCGCAAGAGATTGTGTCTGCATTTAAGTCCTGCTTCCATCCCTTGTTAGCGCTATGACCTTAGTTAAATCCTTAACCTCTAGGGCCTCAGTTTCCTTGTCTGTAAAATGGAGACAGCACTAGTACTTCAAGAAGGTGCTTGTAAGGATTAAATATCTATGTAAAGAACTTAGGGCCTGACAAGAAGTTAAGAGTGATATTAATTTTAGCCTTCTTGCTAAAGGACCTTTTCCCTCCATGTATAGTCTACTTAGAACAGTGACTGCAGATCTACAACCCGACTGTTTCAAAGGGAGTGTGACCAGCAGGTGCTATACCGGGTGACAGAACCTGTGGCTCAGCACTCACGGTCTAATATAAGCTTTGCCTCCACAGCCCTGAAGTCCCGCGCTTTCCACTCCTTGCTCAGCACTACCACTTTCTCAGTGCTCACCCGTCTGTGCTCGCAGCAAGAAGAAAAGGTGTGTCTGTGCTTCCACTGCTTTCTCTGCAATCACAGAGCTATTATACCAAGCAGTTGTTTCAAACAATCAGACTAACTGTCCCCTACACCAAACACTGGCCTGAATTCTGAAAGCCTGCAAAGCCAGTTTCCCAGAAAGCACGCTGGCCCAGACGATCGCTCGTGGCACTTGCAGCCTTTCTGGATGACATCGCCTTAGAAGACCTCCATTTTGCAGTTTTAGGCCTACTTGGGTAACCAACACCATCACATCTCTCCTTTCCCTTTCAAAACTGGTTAACTGTTCTCCCTCACTTTTGTATTTTCACAGTGGTCCAGGATCTGTCTCCAAGGAGATGGTCCAGTGGCTAAGATGCTGTGGGGGCCCAGGTTCGATCCCTGGTCAGGGAATTAGATCCCACATGCTACACAGGAATCTATCCCACATGAAGATACTGCATGCCACAATTAAGACCTGGCGCAGCCAAATAAATAAATATCCAGCAACCAGAACAGAATAACTCTCCTAAACATGGCTTTAATCTCATCAGTCCCTTATACATCAGCTGACTACATTTATACCCCTTACTTTGGTATTAAAAGCCCTCTATAATCTGTCACTGATCTACCTCTGTAACTTTATTACCTACCAGTCCTTGACTAAGAAAACTCAAATGTCTACAGGATTCAGGTAAACAGCGGGAAGGAGTAAAAGAGACTTGCAGGAGAGCGGCTGTGTACACTCAGTCCCATCAATACCGTACAGGACCACCTGCGCTGCCAAATCAACCTCGTGGCTGCCTTTTATTTTAAAGAAAAGTCAGAAATCTGGCCTTTTGTGTGGAAATATTGGCATCTATCTTAAATTTAGAACACTGCATGATCCAACCCCACGTGTGCCAAACACACAGCTTTGATCTCAGCCCTAATCCCATCTGGCCCAGCAGGAAGGTTTAATCACAGTGTCACTTAGACATGTCCAACACCTTCTCATCTGTCTACATTTCTGCTGCCCCTTCTCCTGGTTCTCTAAGACTCTGCCCAAGTCCCACCTTTTCCATAAAGCTGTCCTTGATATCCTGACCCTCACATCCCCTTCGAGTTTCTGCCTAGCCTTTATGGGTACTTTAAGTACTAAGTGCCCTCCCCAGCCCTTCTGGCGTCATAGGCGGCGCCAGTGGTTAAAGAACCTGTCTGCTAATGCTAAGAGACGTGGGTTCGACCCCTGGGTCAGAAAGATCCCCTGGAGGAGGGCACGGCAACCCACCCCAGTATTCTTGCCTGGAGAATCCCATGGACAGAGGAGCCTGGCGGGCTCACAACCTTCCTCTTTCCATTTCAGTCACCACCACTGCTGTGGACTCAACCACCCAGGTAAAAATGGGACAACCATCCTAGACTACCCCCCGCCCTTCAAATCCAGCAGCCACACTGTTTTCACTTTGGGCGATCACTCCTCCCCTGGATGCCCACACCCGCTTGAACGTGCTACGGGTTAGAGCCCTCACTCCTAACTCTCTAACCTGCATTCCCTGAGACCACCAGATGAAGTTCAAAACTGTAAATAACACTGCTCCACCACTGTGGCCTTGCAGGCTTCAGGGTAAAGCTCAGACTCCTGGTTTGTCAGGTGAAGCTGACAGATGCTGCCGCCTCTTGCACACCACGTTGGTGCCGTGTGGTCCAGTACAGCGGGTGCTGGCCACGGTGGGCTGGGCTGTCCAGCACTTGAAATGTAGCTAATTTGAGATGTGCTTTAAGTGTAAAACACACAGAAAATTTAGAAACCTTCGTGGAATAAAAAACCATGTAAAATATCTCAATAATTTCAAAATACCGATTCTTTGCTGGAATAATACTTTGGCTATATTGGCTAAATATATTATGAAAACATTTCATTTCTGAGGTCTTTTTTCTGTTTAACTTTTAAAAATATGACAAGAAAATTTTAAATGACATGTGTCTTGCATTATATTTCTATTAAAGAGTGCTGGGTCTAAAAAATTCCCTTGTGGACACAAAGATAAAACAGCTGTTGATAAAAGTGACTTCAAACTGGCTCATTTCCTCCAGGTCCTTATCAGAGATGGATTCCAGCTCAATTCTGAAGAAAATGAATAACTTGATCTGAGGCAGGTGAGATATAATTACGTGAATTCATCAGCTTTATTTGGAATTTGAATTCAGGCTCTCATGTATTAATCCACTTTAGAAATCACTCAAAGGATCTAGTATAACTTTTTAAGAGACATTCTTTAGAATTCAAACCAGATTGAATATGCTAGTCATTGTTTTGATGAAACTAAGAACACATGCCTGCCGAACTATTATCCTTTATTAGTGGTTTATTTTTCTTCCCCCCACTCTACACTTTGTAATCCTTAAAAGGAATAATGAGGATAAATGTTTGGGGGTCTCTTGAAATAATGGTAAATTTGGTAAATTCAAAGTATGCTTAAGTGGAAACTTACTTCTTCAGCTATAACGGCCCTTATTTCATTGAATTTTGTTGTTGTTGAAATAAAGCAAGAACTTCAGCTTCTGATACCTCCTTTCCTACCCTCAGCCAAAATTTGCAAAGTTAAGTTGTGGTTTATTTTGTTTCTGTCTTTTGGTTTTGTTTGGGCAGGAAATAGGGAACTGGAAAACAGCATCTGGGGAGGCGGCATCTTTTGGTCCAAGAGACCCTTCCTCATTGAGGAAGCAGCCTGTGGGAGAGCTAGTGTATTCTCCCCGCAGCCTGGGCTCCCACTCCTGCTGCAGCTGTTCCCCAAACCCCACCCAGTCTTCACTCTCTGGAGACTGGCACATAGTTTAGTTTAGCAAAAGACACGAGTACTGGCAAAACTGGTATTTCCAATAAAAGTCACATGGGCAGGGACATGAAAATGTTGACCAGATGTTCCCATATTTAACCTCACTTATTTAAACCAATATAAAACTCTTATTAAAACCATTACCTACACGGGGATAGGTTTTGCCAGTGGCTTAGTCGGTAAAGAGTCTGCCTGCAATGCAAGAGACCTGAGTTTGATCCCTGAGTCGGGAAGATCCCCTGGAGGAAGGCATGGCAACCCACTCCAGTATTCTTGCCTGGAGAATTTCATGGACAGAGAAGCCTGGTGGGCTATAGTCCATGGGGTCGCAAAGAGTCGGACATGACCGAGTGACTAACACTTCACTTCAATAGGGGATAACATCATTTTTAGAACAGTGGTTTTAAAACAGACTTTATCCACATGTGGAAATGCCTTTACGGCAGGAACTAGTCTTTTGTTTCTATTCTAAACATGTGTTTACTCCAGGGCTGCACACCTCTCAGGGATGACCAGCGCCTGGGTGCTGCCTGCTCTGGAAACATTTTCCATCATTCCAACAACAACTTAACTTCATCAGTCACAGAAGCCGTTTTTGAATGGGGTGAAATCCTCTTTTGGTTGTGTTATCCAAAGATAACCAAGAACTTAAATCCCATCATAGCTTCTCACTCCTTATCCATGGGCGACAGAAGGAAGCAAGACGCGTGCTCACAGTTTACGCCCTTCCCTCCAGACCATCCCCACTTCAAGTCAATGGCGAGTCAGCCTCTCTCCATGGATGACAGGATTCTGACCAGCCAAGTGAAGGCAGAAGTTCCTTCCCACTCGCCAGAGCCCGGGCCTGAGAAAGGGAGCCTCTCACTGCGCGGCCTCAGCCCGGCTTCTCCCCGTCACCTCTCGCCTACAGGGGGAGCCGCAGGCGCAGAGGGGGAGCCGCAGGCGCAGAGGGGGAGCCGCAGGCGCAGAGGGGGAGCCGCAGGCGCAGAGGGGGAGCCGCAGGCGCAGACGCTGAGCCGCCAGGCGGTGTTCTTCCGCGGAGAAGCCGGGCTGAGTCTTCAGACTCAGTCAGTCAACTGTGAAGGAAGCCCAGCAGCAGCCGTCGTGTGAAACCAGCTCCAACACAGCTTACGCAGTGCACTAGCAACCCAAGCTTCTCCCTGACGAATGGTCTCACCACAGACGACGGCCCACCAGAAGGGAACCTCAACTCACTTTATCTACGGAAGCCCCTGAAATCCCGTGACGCTACGCAGCAGCAAAACAAGGTGCCCGCTGGTCCAAAAGATGCAGTAACTAGGGAACTCCCTGGCAGTCCAGTGATTAGGGCTGGGTGCTGAGCGCCTGGGTTCGATATATGGTTGGGGAACTGTTAATAAGATCCCACAAGGCTGGCAGTGTGGGGGGAAAAACAAAAAAGTCCAGTAATTACCTACAGTACGGCTTTCTAAGATTGCGTGTTATCTGGCCATGCCATAAATAGTCATTAGCCTCACCGTCCTCCCCTACATCAGCACCATTTTAAGGGGATGGGTGGTCTTCATTTAATATCTTTTACATAATTTATTACCAAAAATATGATAAAACTCTGGTACATACAAGTTAAATTATTATTAGGGGATAGCAGTTAAAAGAGGAAAACTACTGAAGATGTAAAACAAAAACAAGTTTGTTTCTGACAGCAGACTTGTAGTAACAGCTGACTGACTCAAGTAGCAAGTGCTAACAAAGGCAGTGTTTCAGGAAGGCCAGGAAAGCAGGGTAAAAACAGGCCCAGCAGGGCACTGCAGGCTATGGGACCAATGGAACAACTGCCTCTGCAGAACTGAGGAGAAAAAACAAAACCCTATTTATCATCCACTGTTGTTGCAGTTACTATGCCCTTTGGGAGCTAAAAGGTAAACACAAAGAAAAGAGCCTGGTCCCTTTAAAAATTACATGTACATTTGAAAGGCAGTAGAAGGCTGCTAGAGTAGTTAATGGATAATCTCAGATTTTGTTGCAAATCAAAACTTTATACTACCCTTTGACTTCAAAGAAACGTGAACAGAAATCTGAATGGATTGAGGGTTTGGTTTGTTTTTTTCTTTCTTTTTTTTTTTTTAACAATAATTGTGTTTTTTCCATCTTTGTTTTTGCTAAGAAAGTAAGTTAGCACTGCAGGGCATTCCCTGAGAAAGTTTTACATGAGCACTGTACATCAGCAAGTCCAGTGAAGTGACTAAAGCTAGCAGAAAACTAAGCCCACAGATTTGGGTACATAAAATTAACCCCTTTACATCATTTAATATTGAAATAGGACTTTACGGCCATTAAGACAGGTACTGATTAGATCAGCCTCAAAATATCATTTTAACATGTTAAATTTGATCAACTGTGCTTTGAAGTAAAACAGCTCTAAGATGTACTTGAAGTGAAAACACAGAATCTCCTTGCCTGCCAACATTTTTAAGGACTACTATCTTAGGCAGCCCACTGTCTCTTTACTACTAAGGTACCTGATGTGATTAAAGCCGTGGTATGCGTACTGCCTGCCTCCCCAGCAGCTAACCCAGCGGAGGGCAGACCTTTGGCCTGGCAGGACTCTAGGAGGCATGGGCAGCTGGCTCTGTTTGTTTTTTTAAACGGCCAGTCTTTCCATTTCATTGAGACGGGTTTCCATGGTGCCGGCACTCACACACGGCACTATTAAGAGTGGGACTAGAAAAGAGACTGGGAAAGTCAAGACTGAGAAAAAAGAGGGAAGAGTTTCCAGGAACTTATTTAACAGCCACCAAGGGGTAGAAAAAAAAGAGTTCTAAAGGAAGGAAGGTAGCTGATGGTTTGGAAATCCCTGGTTTGATTTGGAAAACATTTTCTAACTCTCAAAATTCTTAAGACCTGATTATTTTTCTCTTTTTGTTTTTTCCAAAAATAATTTTCCTTTGATTAAAGCAAAGTTCATCCTTGACACAGAATTGTTTAGATGAGATTTGGCAAAATGTTTCAGAGGAATTATCTGTCAAAACCAATCTGGATTTAGATGCCAGTTCAAATAATCCTAAATTATAGAAGCTACAATGAACTTAATCTTAAAAAATAAATCACTAGGGTTTTTAGATAACTTGATGTCATTAGTGACCCTGACAATAATATCTGTACCAGATAGTTCTCAAATTATCAAAAATTATTCTGGTCCTTCCTGAACTATGAAAGATGTTTAATCTGTTGGTTGATTTAATTTTTATTCATTCCACCCAAATCCAAATATGATTTGGAACAGCTTTCTTGGAGGCTCATTCTTGGCACAGCAGGGTCACCACTCCCTCAGACCTCTGGTTCCTGGCTAGGCTGGATGAACACAGTGGACTGTGAACTGCTAAGACAGGGCCCATCTGTGAAGGACGTAGACTGCCTCTACTCTGGTCGGGATGGCTCGGGAAGGCTCCGATGTGGTCCCGAGCATGCCTGCATGACTGCCTAACGCTTCAGGACAGCACTTGGAAGGTTCAAAGCGGTAGCAAGGTCTCCACAGATGCAGACCCCTGGTTGTGGTTAATGCTCTTCTGAGGCATCATTGAGTTTCCATGTTTTCATTTATTTTTTTTTAAAGGGAGGAGGTGATGTATGCTCTTCTAAATTACTCCTGGATTCACCTGGTGATAAAATCACCCATCAGCTAAATGTACATGCAGATAGACAGGTGTGGGTTATGGAGTTTCTAGTCAACAGCTGAATTGCATGAATTTAGAAAAATAGTCCAAAATGAACAAATGCACCCAGCAAAAGGCTAGTTTAATTAAGGCTGAATTTTTGAAGTTTAAGATAGACTTCGTCTTAAAATAGGAAGGGATAACTTCAGAAAGTATTATTTAAATCACTAGGACTCTGGGTAATTTGATAATGACCCTGGAGCATTATTAGTTCTTACTTAGCTTCTTAATTTTGTCCTTAATTTTAAAGTGATAAAAGACTGATCCTTCCACGAAAATTCTACCTTCTTCTAACTTCTCCTCACTAAGATTCTTTCAGGCTAGTGATGCTGGCTAGAGAACCCTTTTACCAAAAGCCTTCTGGCCTCCTTTCTCCTTCAGTCTTTCTAAGGCACACCATAGAGCTTGTCTTTTTTACTAATTCTAAGAGTTAGCTCTTAAATTCTCTCCCTAGGATCACATCACATTTTTAAAAAATTATCTGAATAAAGATTAAAAATCATTAGGATCACGGAATTCTTTGGCAGCCCAATGGGTAGGACTCCATACTTCCACTGCAGTGTGCATCAGTTTGATTCCTGGTCAGGGAACTAAGACCCTATATGCCTCATGGGATGGCCAAAAAAGAAAAAAGAAAAAAAAAAAAGGATTAAGCTCAGATCAGTCTCCCTTCCACTGTCGTCACTTTCACACACTTCTGAAATTGTCTATCCCAATTTTTTACCCGCTCTTTAAAAAATAAGACTACTTCAGATTCGGGGTGAGGTGGTGGTGACTAACATTATTTTAGACATGTTCAGTCCTGTCTTGTGATTTTAAAGCGTTTGGGAAGAAAAGGACCACACCTCTGTAGGATAGATAAGAAAGTAGAAAGCCTGAGTGGTCTGGATTAAGGCAGCTGGCATAGCACAGAGAAAAACTTTCATAGACTGAGAGTTGGAAGGCCTCGGCAGAGCAGGTAAAAAAAAAGTCTTTGGAGTCAAATTGTGGGCTCTATTCCTTACAGAGTCTAATATCGTGGACATCAGTTCCTTGGTTTCAAGTTGACACTGCACACTGCTTCACTCCCTTGGAGGGATGTTCTGGAAATCTATGGAGGCTATTTTTATCTGATATAGTTGTGCCCAAACATTGCCTTTTTTCCAATTAATTTTTTATTTTAATAAATTTTTTAAATCACATAACATTTACCATTTAAGCCATTTTAAAGTGTATACAGTCAGTGTAATTAATTAAGTACATTCACGTTCTTATGTAACTATCACCACCATCCATCTCCAGAACTTCTTCACTTTCTCAAACTGAAACTCCAAACCCATTAAATAATATCTCCCCCCTTCCCCACTTCTCAAAGTCCCTGGGAGACCTCATTGTACTTCCATCTCTGAATTTGACTCCCCTAGGTACCTCATCTAAGTGACATCATACACTTTGTATCTGGTTTATTTCATTTAGCATAATGTCTTCAAGGTTCCTCTATGTTGTCACATGTGTCCCAAACATTACCTTTTAAAATACATATTATTTTATCCAAAAATTACTTTTTATTTCTTTTTATGTTACAAGTGGGGCATTACTGATTTTTTTTTTTTTAATTATGTATACAGGTAGGTTTTATGACCTAGGGATTTGGTTCCGGGAGAGAAAAGGAGGCACCAGGTCTGACACACTATTCCAGATGTGTGACAGCGTAGCTGTGAAGGTGAATGTGACACTGAACTTAGAAAGCACCTCACAAGGAAGATGTGGGATGGGGACCCCAGGACAGGGCATCCCCAAAAGCTGGAGACCAGGAGCCAGGAGACACCGGCAGGTAACTGTGAGAAGTCCCTAGGACAGCTCCTGAGGAGTCAGAAACGTAAAAGGAAGCTGTGTGTTCACAGGAGCAGACCCAGGGATATCCGATTTATGTTGAGGTTTGTACAATGCCTCATAAATTAATCAACACACGGGAGCACTTTACATTCTACAGATGTGTGCGGGGGTCACGAGACCGGGGCAGAATCTGCTAGTCTATGTGGTGGTGGTCCACTCAGACACCCCATTCCTGGAAGCACATGGTACAAGGTATGAGAGAGGGTATTCCACCTTAGCAGGGCCGACTATATACTGACTGTGTACCACTAGCCACCCATTTCCGTGTTTTTAAATTACTCCACATGGACACTAGTCTAGATAAACATACTTTACTTCTATCATTTAAGC